AACGCGCTCCCACCTCGCAAACGGAAGGCGTTCGCGCGCGGTCCGTGCGTACTTCCCTAGCTTTCCGAAACTTTTTGCCGCCCCCCGAGCGTTGGAGCCATTGCGCTCCCTGTTGCTCGAGTCACGACGGACGGCTAGCGTTAACCGCCTGGCTGCGGACAGCACAGCCGCCCGCAGCCCCCATGGCTGCCCTGTCGCCACCCGCGGCTGATGCGTGGAACCTGGTGGCGGCGCCCTCTTCTTTCCTTTGCCCCCCCCTTCCTGCTCCCCCACACCCTCCCTCGCGCCGCAGCGACCGCCCTTGGCCTCCCCGCAGTTTTTCTCCCCCTGGCCTCCCCTCTGGCCCCTGGCCACCTGGCCACCACAGCGACAGTCCTCTGCCGCCTTGCAGCCCCCTTTTGGAAAACGCGTTCCGTCACAACCTCGCTGCTCGACGGGCCTTGTGTGCTTGTCGGTGGACCTGCCCTGGCGCACTCTTGGCCGTGGTCGCGCACTTCCGCCCCTGGGCAGTGCGAGTGCGCGCCTTCGGGCGCCACGTTTGGCCTGGCCGTCCACGACCAGCTCGCCGACCTGCTGCGCCTCTTCCAGGACGCTCTTGTCCCATGGCCTGCGACTCGCTCGCGCTCAGGCCGCTGTCGGCTGACCAGGAGCCTGCGTGTTCTGAGTTCGCCCCTCCACTTGCTCCTCCTACCCCGCGGCCACTTTGCTCCGCTTGTCCCTGCCTCTCGATGGGCCTACTTGGCTGCGCGCTGCCCCTGCGTTGCTCGACCGGCCCCGCGCGCTCGCCAGGCCCGCGGACAAGACATCGCGTGAGGGAGTGCTCTTTCGGTCCTGGCACATTTGCGTGATAGTTTCTGTGCGGACTCGGGGGGCGGGGGGGGCGGCTTTCTTCGTCGTTCCCCATTGCCGTTCCAACCCCTTTTTTGGAGTCGTGGCCTGCACTGCACTTTCGTTCATCAATCATCAGAACACTTGGTGCAAATCTGCCCCCTTCTGTATTTCTCCATGTGATTACTTGGAACTCCGCATTTTCGTTCTCCACGGTTGTCGTTTTTGGTCCACGCTTTTGTTCAATGTCAAGTTCTGCTTCTGGAACCAGATTGCAGCCAATCCACTTGCAAAATTATGTTTTTCTTTGAGCCGCCGGAGTGCTTTAACAATCTGCCCTGCCGTTTGCGGAGCCACTGATGGCAAGCACCGACACCTGAAAACCAATGCCTCAGCCACGCAAGGTTTTCCCCACCCTCCTCCGTCCTTCTCTTTCCCATCTCCTCTCCTTCTCCCCCCTCTACAATTACTCAATCTGGAAATACTCTCCCTCTTCCCCTGATGGCGTCCGGGTGATGGCCGCGCACCCTCCGCGTATTGTTTTTTTACACACAGGATGCCCGGGAAATCCCGGGAAACGACTCTCGCTGAGGCGCCGGCGTCATTTTCGGGCCGAACGCCCCCCGCGTACTGTTTTTTAACACACAGGATTCCCGGGAAACGGGTTTTCGCCTGCGTATTTTTTCAAAATGATGCTCTCGCTGAGGCGCCGGCCTCATTTCTGCTCCCGAATCGTTCCGAATCGTGCTCCCGCTGCAGCGTGGGCCTCATTTTCGGATCGGTGTTTGGCCTCCGTCGTTCAGGATGGCGTTCTCGCCCCAGCGCGGGTCTCTTTCTCGCGCGCCCATCCGCCCGCCACCACCGCGCCGCACCACCACCACCACCACCACCACCACCACCAGCACCAGCACCAGCACCAGCACCAGCACCAGCACCAGCACCAGCACCAGCACCAGCACCAGCACCAGCACCAGCACCAGCACCAGCCAGCACCAGCACCAGCACCAGCACCAGCACCAGCACCAGCACCAGCACCAGCACCAGCACCAGCACAGCACGAGCACGAGCACGAGCACAGCACGAGCACGAGCACGAGCACGAGCACGCACAGCAGCAGCACAGCACCAGCACCACCAGCACCAGCACCAGCCACAACCACGCACACGCACGCACGCACGCACGCACGTGCACCACCACCCACTACGCACGCGCGCGCGGAGCCACAGGTCCGCTACGACACGCGTCCGCGGATAGAGAAAATCAGCGCCATAGTAAGGGATGGGAGGGAGGGGTAGGACGTCAGATATGACGCGAGCGCACCTAGCTTGCCCCCTCCCCCTCCGCGTACTCCTCTCTCAATCGCGCGTCCGTCGAGGCTCCCCCGCGCAGCCAGCCCGCGCCTGGGCGATCGAGGCCCCTGGCCAAGCCGCCGCGTTCCGCTCCCTGCCTCCCGCTCCAATGCCAGAAATCCTCGAGCGCAGTGATCCGTTTTGGCAGTCCCTGCCTCCGGCTTGCGCCAGGCAGTAGCCACTTCAGATCACAAACTGTGCCATGCCACTTTTTCCTCTCACACCGCGACACCACCATTATGCTCCGCACGTGATGGATGACGTCCCTTTGCGCCAGACCACGTCCGAACCCGAATCCTGCGGTTCTAGAGCTCCGCCTCGTCCAGCGCGGCTATGGCCTTCTTAGCCTCCTCTTCTGTGGAGAAGCGTGCCTGACCGTATCCGAGC